CGGAATCGAACCTGAGCCCCTTCAGTCCGCAGGCCAACGCTCTACCCACGGAGCCAAACCGGTCAGGGCGGAAAGACGATTTTAGATCACAGTTCTGTTTATCATAAAAAGTAAAAGACTCACCTATACTGCAACAGTCAGAAGAGGAAAGCGTACATCTATGTAATGAACTGAACGCAGTATTCCCAGCAGATTTATTTTTAATGCCCCAAACATGGAAATAACAAAAACCATAGACAGATCAATGGATAAAGTGGTTACCCAGAGAACATCAGAGTACTCAGCAATAAAATATAATTATTCACATAGGCATTAGTGGTTGAATCTCAAAATAACTGTGTAGCTGAAGGAGAACAGTATTTGTGAAAGACTACACACCTTTTAGTGACTATAAAACTATGAAAAATATGAACTAACCTTGTAAAGGAAGGAAAATCAATGCATGGAGGGCTAGGGAAGGCAGAGAGAGAAATTATGAAAGGGCGGGAGGGGGTGAATACAGGGTGTGGCAAAGCAGGCGTAGACTGTTGGCATGGAAATTAATACAATAATTAAAAAATAAAAATACAAGAAGAAACTCCTCCCTGCCAGTGAGCCTAGGTGGGGTGGGCACCATCCCTTGCTCTGAAAGGTCACGGGTTCCATTCTAGCTCAGGGCACGTGCCTGCCTGGATGCCCTGTAGGTGGCGTGCAGGAGGCAGCAGTTGGATGTTTCTTACTAATATCACCATTTCTCTCTCCCTTCCCGTTTCTGAGAAGTCAATAAAAATGTTTTTAAATATATATATTAGCCGAAACCGGTTTGGCTCAGTGGATAGAGCGTCGGCCTGCGGACTGGAGGGTCCCGGGGTCGATTCCGCTCAAGGGCATGTACCTTGGTTGCAGGCACGTCCCCAGTGGGGAGTGTGCGGGAGGCAGCTGGTCGATGTTTCTCTCTCATTGATATTTCCAACTCTCTATCTCTCTCCTTTCCTCTCTGTGAAAACTCAATAAAATAGATTTTAAAAAAATGTGTTTAAATATATATATTTTATATTTTTATTGATTTTAGAAAGGGAGAGGAATAAAGATAGAAATATCAATGATGAGAATCATTGACCGGCTGTGTCCTGCCTGCCCCCCATTGCTGATTGAGTATGCAACCTGAGCATGTACCCTTGACCAGAATCGAACCTGGGACCGTTCAGTCCACAGGCTGACACTCTGTCTACTGAGGCAAACTGGCCAGGGCTAAATATATTTTTTTAAAAAGAGATAATAGCCCTGACCGGGTTGGCTCAGTGGACAGAGCGCTGACCTGCGGACTGAAGGGTCCCGGGTTCGATTCTGGTCAAGGGCATGTACCCTTGGTTGCGGGCACATCCCCAGTAGGGCGTGTGTAGAAGGCAGCTGATCGATATTTCTCTCTCATTGATATTTCTAACTCTCTATCCCTCTCCCTTCCTCTCTGTAAAAAATCAATAAAATATATTTTTTTTACAGTGAAGACTACGGATATCAGAATCAAAGGAATGCTGACTGGGTCACAAACGCCACGTCCTGGGACTGACCACAGGCTTGCCCTTCCTCTAGCTTTGAGGTCCGGCCTGTTGACCACACCTTGAGATGCACACACACCCTAGAGAGGCCAGAAGAGGACACAAATCTTTAGAATTTTTCCCCCCGTAAAAATGACTTCAGCTGCAGGAAACAGTCAAGGGATGTCCTGAGAATACCCCTACACAAGACCACACAGGCCACAGGCCCTGGCACATTCGTGGGTCACGTTCAGAAGAGGCACTATTCACCTAATTCACTGCGGTATTTCCCACTCACTATGAATACAGGGTTTCTGACCCAATTGTAGTTCCACCAGTCTTTTTTTTTTTTAAAAAAAATACATTTTACTGATTTTTTAAAGAGAGGAAGGGAGAAGGATAGAGAGTTACAAACATCAATGAGAGAGAAACATGGGAAGTATTTATCAGCTGCCTCCTGCACACCCCCTACTGGGGATGTGCCTGCAACCAAGGTACATGCCTTGACCTGAATCGAACCTGGGACCCTTCGGTCTGCAGGCTGATGCTCTATCCACTAAGCCACACCAGTCAGGGTGCCCTCAGTCGTGTAACAAACGGCACCAGCCTATGGAACGCACATCACGGCACACGGCTCCTCTACAGTATGTGGGAAGAATTTCCCTAAACGCGGCTGAGAATTATGTCGGATGCACTAGGAATGGCAAATATAATTCGTATTGTTCCCAGAAGCACACAGTGAACTCCTCTTCTGGGCGACGAATGCCCTCGGCGATAACAGAGGCAACCAGACCGCAAATCCGCACCACAAAGCCAGGCGCACTCCCTCTCAAGGCCTTGGTCAGCAATACAACAACCGGCCAATATTGGACAAAGGGTGATTTTCTGCGATTGTTCCGTGCCTCCCAAAGCACAGAGAGTTTGGGACCCACCATATCTGCTCGCCTCTCCACGCCGACAGAGCACGACTTTCCTCTCAAATCATCCCAGGGATTTACCAAAAATAAATAAATTAAAGGTACAAAATAAAAAAAAACAAACACCTTTACGAAATATCATAAACCAGAACAGAGGAGAGCAAGGTGTCTGCAGGTTGCTGAATGAGATCCCGAAGGAATTCGTCACACCATAACCTGAGAAACGCCATGTCCCTGAAAGAGGTAGCGCCTCTTAGCTGAGGACGGGAGCCCTGGATGAACCTGGGTCGGGTCCATTCCCTTTGTCAGAGGTAAAGGCGTGAAGACCCTGCCAAGAGCTCAGCGTGTTCATGATTCTCTCAAGCACCAGGGAGAACGCAGAACGCATTTCCCCTGAGCACCCACGGGTGGCGGCGGACGCACGCTCCTCTGGCGAGCCAGGTGCTGAGAGGCGAACCTCTCCCACCAGACACTGGGTTGGACGGCAGTGAGGTGGTGGGTCTGGGCATGTTAGCAAGTGCCCTCGTGCCTCAAGTGTCCTCGTACCCGACACTGAGGAGGATCTAGCAGCGTACGTTCCATCGCAAGGGATTCACATTCCGGTAAATGCGACGCCAAGCTGTCATTCTAAGTGAGAAAAAACCCAACGTTCCCGGCACACTGAATGCTTTCCCTGGTGTGACCACCGGGGATTTCCACAAGTTTAGATCTTTGGCTGAAAGACTCCCCACCATCACTAGTCACGTGGCATTTCTCTACTCTAAAGTCTCTGTGGCCAAGGGGATGATTCCTGCCCTAGAGCGTTTCTGACACAAACTACTTAAACGCCTTTTCACGGATGTGAATTGTGAGGCGTTTACTGAAGCAGACCTTTGACGGGAGGACTTCCCACACTCTCTGCACTCATACGGCTATTCCCTGGTGGGAATTCTGTGGTGCTGAATGAGGGTGGACCTTACACTGAAGGCCTCCCCGCAATCAGGACACTCAAACGGCTTCTACCCAGGGTGAACGCTCTGGTGTTCAGGGAGGGCACTGCCATCTCTGAAGGACTTCCCACAATGAGGACACACACAACTCTTCTCTCATTGTGAGACCATCAGAATATCTAGCAATAATGGCCAACCAAGCATTTAATGTGACATCAGTAGTTTCATCAAGAGAAACAGAAAAATATTTACAACTATTTAAATCTTTTTTTCATTGATGTTGTATGTTTTTGTTAAGATCTATTATTCTGTCTTTGATAGTATTTCTACTGAGTGGTAACTCAGAAATTCTTTTAATAATATCATCTTTATTTTTCATATCGTGAAATAAAGCTGGTGCACATCTTAGAAATGTTTCCTTAATAAATTCTCCGTCACTGAGGGCTTTTCTATGCCAAGCTATGGAGTGAGCAATACAGTAACTTGCTGATGTTAAATTGGTAGAGCATCTTACAAATTTAATGATGGAATTTGATTGACTTTTATAGAGGTGTAGCTGCCTAGAAATGTATTCCTTCCTTTCATCGATACTTTTTTTCAAGAGA